GAAGGATTATTTTGTGTCTCTATCTCCTTCAGTTCTGCTCTGATTTTAGTTATTTCTTGTCTTCTGCTAGCTTTTGAGTTTATTTGATCTTGTTCCTCTAGTTATTTATTTATTTATTTATTTTGAGAAGGAGTTTCGCTCTTGTTACCCAGGCTGGAGTGCAATGGCGTGATCTCGGCTCACTGCAACCTCCGCCTCCTGGGCTCAGGCAATTCTCCTGCCTCAGCCTCCTGTGTAGCTGGGATTACAGGCACGTGCCACCATGCCCAGCGAATTTTTTGTATTTTTAGTAGAGACGGGGTTTCACCATGTTGACCAGGATGGTCTTGATCTCTCGACCTCGTGATCCACCCGCCTTGGCCTCCCAAAGTGCTGGTATTACAAGCTTGAGCCACTGCGCCCAGCCCCTCTAGTTATTTTAATCATGACATTAGGATGTCAATTTTAGATCTTTCCTTGCTTCTCATGTGGGCATTTAGTGCTATTAGGTTTCCCTCTAGACATTGCTTTAAAAATTTCCTAGAGATTCTGGTATGTTGTGTTTTTGATCTCATTGGTTTTGAAGAACATTTATTTCTGCCTTCATTTCATTAATTATCCAGTAGTCATTCAAGAGCAGGTTGTTCAGTTTCCTTGTAGTCGTGTGATTTTAAGTGAGTTTCTTAATCCTGAGTTCTAATTTGATTGCACTGTGGTCTGAGAGACTGCTTGTTCTGATTTCCATTCTTTTGCATTTGCTGAGCAGTAATTTACTTCCAATTATGTGGTCAATTTTAGAGTAAGTGTGATGTGCTGAGAAGACTGTATATTCTGTGTATTTGGGGTGGAGAGTTCTGTAGATGTCTTTTAGGTCCGCTTGGTTCAGATCTGTGTTCAAGTCCTGGGTCTTGTTGATCTGTCTAATATCGACACTGGAGTGTTAGAGTCTCCCACTATTATTGTGTGGGAGTCTAAGTCTCTTTGCAGGTCATTAAGAACTTGCTTTATGTATCTGGGTGCTCCTGTATTGGGTGTGTATATATTTAGGATAGTTAGCTCTTCTTTTTGCATTGATACCTTTACCATTATGCAATGTCCTTCTTTGTCTCTTTTGATCTTTGTTGATTTAAAATCTGTTTTTATCAGAGACTAGGATTGCAACCCCTGCTTTTTTTTCTCTCTCTCTCTCTCCATTTGCTTGGTAAATCTTCCTCCATCCCATTATTTTGAGCCTATGTGTGTCCTTGCATGTGAGATGAGTCTCCTGAGTACAGCACACCGATGGGTCTTAACTCTTTATCCAATTTGCCAGTCTGTGTCTTTTCATTGGGACATTGAGCCCATTTACATTTAAGGTTAATATTGTTATGTTTGAATTTTATCATGCCATTTTGATGCTAGCTGGTTGTTTGGCCCATTAGTTGATGCAGTTTCTTCATAGTGTTGATGGTCTTAACAATTTGGTATGCTTTTGCAGTGGCTGGTAGTGGTTGTTCCTTTCCATGTTTAGTGCTTCTTCCAGGAACTCTTGTAAGGCAGGTCTGGTGGTGACAGAATCTCTCAGCAGTTGCTTGTCTGTAAAGGATTTTATTTCTCCTCCACTTATGAAGCTTAGTTTGGCTGGATATGAAATTCTGGGTTACCTCCCTCACTTCTAAGGATCAAAAGTACTCAGAATGTATACCACTTAGGTTTAGCAATTAAGTCTCTAATTTTTATGTGTGTGTGTGAGAGGATTTTGTCTGTGATTTTGATTTGCACAAAGCCTACCAGTAGGGTTGGACACAAAGACTTTCCATATAAATGATAGTGTAGTAAGTCTTCACTGATGTCATTAGTAGGTTCTTGGAAACAGTGACTTTAAGTGAAACTACATACAGTAAGCATGTCTTCAAATAACATAGCTTCATTCAACATTGTTTTATTATAATGTTGATGAGAGAAAAATGGGTTGGTTATATTTCCTTTCACTTATTTATTTTTGAGACAGGGTCTCACTCTGCTACTCAGGCTGGAGTGCAGTGGTGCGATCATAGCTCATTGCAGCCTCTGACTCCTGGGCTCAAGGAATTATCCTGCTTCAGCTTCCTGAGTACCTGTGAATACAGGTGTGCAGCATGATGCCCAGCTAATTATTATTATTATTTTAGAGATAAGGTCTCACTATGTCACACAGGCTGATCTCTAACTCCGTGGCTCAAGAGATCCTTCTACCTTGGCTTCCCAAAGTGCTGAGATTCCAGGCATGACACACTGTGGGTGGCTCATTTCACTTAAAGTTGCAATTTCCGAGAATCTACCAACAATGTTAAGTGAGAACTTATGTAACTATTTTGACGTATTTGTATGGCCAGGCACAATGCACTTTACGAACTTTATTATATTGGAGCTAAAAGCAATCTATTCTACAGATGAAGAAATTAAGTCCCAGAGAAGCAAAATAACTTTGCAGGCTTCATACAGGGGTGAGGTTGTAGCTCTCACATAGTTCCTATTCAGCATTCCTACGTGGAGTAATGAACAAATACCAGTGGATTGAGTTAGAAGGAGCTGCTCAGTTGAATAATTTGAGTGTTAGCCATACTTCTTTACTCCATAATTGAAAATAGAAACATAACTGAAGATGGAAACATGATGTCTTTGGCATACAATAGTTATCTTCCACCTACAGAAAGGGCATGTGCCTTAAATTATTTCTTTAGTGGAGATACTAAATTGGCAACAAGGGATACATAATCTCTTGCTTGACTATTAAATAACCAAGGTCTCATGGAGGAAAAAAATAATCTGATCTTTCTAGGGCTTATATTAGTGATAGGACTTCATTAATAATCTGCATTGAATAAGGTAGTTAATTGATGTCAACTTGTTATCCTATCAACGGGGAAAGAATGACTTTAAATATCTCTATTTCAGCTTCTTCTTACTCATGTGGGAATAGTAAACAGTTGTTGGTTGTGTGAAAAATACTGACTTAAAGAAATAATGGTCTTGGGATTGGAGCATGAACAATTGAATAAAATTTTATGGATAAGAGCACTATGTAAGCATGTAGACATTTGGCAGGGTCATATATTGCATGAGTAAATGAGTAGAGCTTTGGGATACTCTGATTCACTGTCTGGTGCAAGAAGTTTTTTTTTTGGGGGGGGTGGGATTTGTTGTTTTAAAGTTCAATTTTTATTTTCGATAAAGGAGGTACATGTAAAGGTTTGCTATGTGGGTATATGCATCCAGGTAGTGAGCATAGTAACCAATAGGTAGTTTTTCTTTTTATTTTGAGATGGTGTCTCACTCTGATGCCCAGGCTGGAGTACAGTGGCATGATCTCAGTTCACTGCAACCTTCACCTTCCAGGTTGAAGTGATTCTCGTACTCCAGTCTCCCAAGTAGCTGGGATCACAGGTGCCTCCCACCATGTCTGGCTAATTTTTGTATTTTTAGTAGAGATGAGGTTTCACCTTGTTAGGCAGGCTGGTCTTGAATTTCTGCCCTTAAGCAATCCATTCGCCTTGGCCTCCCAAAATGCTGGAATTACAGCCGTGAGCCACTGCACCTGTCCCAATAGGTAGTTTTTCAACCCAAGTCCCACTCCCTTCGTACACCCTCTAGAACTCTATTGTTCTCATGTTTACCTCTAAGTGTGGTCAATGGTTAGCTCCCACTTACAAGTGAAAACATGCAGTATTTGGTTTTCTGTTCCTGCATTAATTGGATTAGGATTATGATCTCCAGCTACATCCTTGTTGCTGCAGAGAACATGATTTCATTCATTTTTATGGTGGTGTAGTATTCCATGGTATATTTGTACCACATTTTCTTTATTCAGTACACCATTGATATGCTTTGCTATTGTGAATAGTGTGCCAATGAAAATACATGTGATACAGTTCCCTCTTCTTAAGAAGAAAATGTCATATGCTCTCCATCTGGGAGGATGAGACCTTTCTACTCCGTTGATTTCCACTTCTTTCTTTTATGCTGGTATGGCCCTGAGAGAATTCTTCCAAATCCTGGATGCCAGAGGCCTCATAGAATAATTGGAAACAAAGCCGAAAGTTGGAGAAACCTCTGGAGAGAAAGCAGCTTCCAGTTATTTTCCAAATTGTTGAGCTCTGCAACTAGGAAAAATGACTTCAGTCTTCCTTGAACCTTAATTTCCTCATCTGTCAAATGAGAATACTGGGCCTGATACTGTTTAGGACTGGGTTATCTGCTTTGAGGAATAGACCCAATTCTTGAGAATGATGTTAGAAAAACCCAGTCAAAGGCTTTGATGTCACTATCAAGATTCATCCTGACAAAATCAATTTTTATCTGATTTAAGGTAAACTTCCTCATCATTTGTTAGGTAGAGCCATTCTGTGTTTCTGTGATTACTCACATGGCCTTAGTGGGGACAGATAGCAGGAAAGGTTCATTTATTTGTAAAATGTTCAATTATTTAAATTTAGTTTTCAATTTAGTTTTATTCAAATATATATTTTTATTTAAATGTGCAAGTAAACATCATCATGGCTTTTGTCATCTTAATTTTTTAATTTTGTTTCTTTGATTTTCTTCCCCTAATCCCATGCAAAAACATGCCCTTCCTTTTCCAGTAACATACAAAACAATCTGATGGGTTTCCTCTCCTATTTCTCCTCTACTTAAATAAGCCTATACACACATATATGCATAAACATTTATACTTTTTCTCTATTTTTGAGTGTTTGAATTTAAACACCACAAATACTTCCTTTTTTTTTTTAACTCAATTATACATTGTCAAGATCTCCTCTGGCAGTTTTCATTCCTTCTTTTAAGTAGCCACGTAATATTCCGTGGTAAAACTGTAGCATATATTATTCAGCAATTGCTTTGCTAACAGGCAAGTAACTATAGTTAATCCAGTTTCTAGCTATTTCTAACAATTTTGTAGAAGGTTTCCAGAAAGAAATTGGAAGGCCTAAGTTAAAGATTTTAATACATTTTAACAGCTTTAATAGATTGTTTTCAAAAAGGCTGTAACACATTACCTTCTACCAACAATAGCTGAGAATTCCTTTTCTTGTATTCCTATCGACAGGTCCTCCGGTGTCCGAGGCACACCCTCCAGGCCCTCCGGGCTCCCTTGCTTCCTGCTGCTGCCTCCGCTCAAGGGCAATGCGCAGGGCCAAGTACTTGGAGAGATGGCCCACTGTAGCATTCCCAGTTGTCTTCACATACCTTGTCTGGCAGTATTCTCCCTTCTCCACAAGCAGCGGGTGGGGCCGGAACACAAGCTCAATTTCTCCACCTGGCTCCGGGGGCCTGGGAGCCCCAGGAGGGCTTGGGGGGGCCCAGGGTTCCCCCTCCTAGAGTCCCTGCCCGGTCACCAGAGTCTTCCGAACCGGCACCCACACCCACCCCACCAGTGCCACCTCCTCCTGTCCCTACACTGCTCCCCCATGCACCCACTCCACGGGTTGCTTGGGAGCAGGGCCTGGGGCAGAGTCAGGGGCGGAGTCTGAGCTCACATCTTCTCCATCTCCTTCTCCCTCCCCAGGCTCTCCTTCCCCCCCACTCATCGTTGTGGTCTGATCTGACCCGGGTATCCGCCGCCTCACACGCTGGGCCCTGTGCATGGCCTGCATGCGCAGCCCCTCCTCAATGCTGGAGCTCAATGCCAGCTGGTTGTGCAGGCGGCTCAGGCGGATGAGCACTGGGTCTTGATGGGCCTCGTATTCCTCCCGGCTGGGATAGATCTTAGAGATCAGGGCATCGAAGAAGTTGGGGTCTGGCCGTAGGGATCGCTTGGATGCCAGCTTCTTTCGGCAGGTAGGACACCCCTTGTTCCCGCTCCGCAGGGCTGTAACAATGCAGTCAGAGCAGAATCTGTGGAGGCACTCCTTGGTGGTCACTGTATTCTTCAGCATGTCCAGGCAGATAGGGCACATGAGTTCCGAATGCAGTGACCGAGGGGAAACTGCAATCTCTGTGCCATCCATTATGGCTTCCTGCGGGGTCCGGTGCAGCTCATACAGACTCAGTTCCCACTTCTTGCTGGCATTCTGGGCATTCGCCGGCGTCGTCATGGTGACCGGGCACAGACCCCCCACCAGGGCCGCACAGTCGAGGAGGAGTCCTTGCCTTTTAGTTTTTATCAATCTGATGTGAAACAATTTATTTAGTTAACTTTATTTTTTATTTACCTAAATTTTCGTTAATATAAAAATCTTTTCATGTATTTGGCCGTTTTAACTTTTTGTTCATAAATTATCAATTTTTATGTATATTCCTTTCCAGTTCTTCCTGAATTGTCTTTTTTTCCTTAGGAACTTGTAAGAGTTCTTGATATATTAAGAAAACTCTTCCTCACTCTTACATCTCTGTTATATTTCCTCACCAGATATGTGACATTGACCTTATGGTAGCTTTCTGGATATATGCTTTTTTAGTTTAATTTTTCAAAGAATTTTCAGTGTTTTTAAATTTTAGTTTCTGAATTTTCAGTCTTATATAGGAAAGTTTCCCTGAACTCTGTATTATAAAATAGACTTTTTGATTTTCTATCGTGATGTTTATATTGTTTTAAAATTTAAGCTTTTAATCCGTGTAAAAACGTTAAGATGAGAGCCCGTTTCTTCTTTCCTTCTGGGTAGATGACTAGCTGTGTTATATTCATTTATTCAAATGTTCATGTTCCTTTTCTCACTAATTTTGAACTACGGAACTTGCCACATACTTAACATGCTGTGATTTAATTTTGATTTCTATTTTCTGTTCAAACATCTATAATTCTTTATCTAGAAAGGCAAATTTCCCTTCAGAATTCTTCCCTCTCTCTCTCTCTCTCTTTTTTTAATAGCTTCCTTGTCTGTTCTTAGATATTTGTTATTTCATGTTAATTTTTTTCCTATTAAATGAGCTGTATACTGATTTTGAAAGGAATTACATTTCTGTTATATTGACTCTTCCATAACAACATTTTATACCTTTCCTTTCTTATTTTGTTTTTAGTTATTTTAATATTCTTGGTTTTATTAACATAAATCTTCTCCTTTCCTTTTAAAGTCTATTTCTATTTGTTTTGCTCTGATTGCAAGTGGCTTTTCCTCCTGTATTCATATATATGGTTACTTTTTGTTGGAATAGAGAATAGCTATTGATTTATATGTATTTGTTCTGCATCCATCCATCTTACCAAGTTCTATTCTTAGAAGATAAGGTTTTTAAAAATCTTTTTTTAAACTAATACCTTAAATTTTCTAGCTATACAATAATATAAATGTTCTTATCTTTTGATATTTATAAAACTCAGTTTTCTCATTTTATTACATTTGCTGATGCTTCCAAGTCAATTTTGAATAGCAATGGTGATCATAGATTTCTTTCTAGTTCTTGATATATTGAAATAATTTTTGTTGCTTAGATTATTTGTGTTTGGTTTTTGATAAATGACCAACCAATGTGGTTGGTTAATATAAATTGTTTCTTTCTGATGGTATGTAGACTTTTTTTATTAGGAATATCTGAATGTTATAAAGCACTTTTCCAGAATCCATAATTATAGACTATTTTTTTGATTTTATTTTTTGATACAGTGGGTTATGTTAATAAATTTCCTACTATTAAAACACTATTACTTCTCTGAAATAAATTCAAATTCTTCAAATATATATTTTTTATATTACCAACTGGTTTATCATTTTCTTTTTTATATTACCTTTTCAACTTCTGATAATAAAATTACCTTGATTTAAAAAGTAAATTAGAGAGCCGTCCATTCTTTCCTATTGTTTAGAAAAATTTAAGCATTCTGTTTTCACAAGGTTGGATATTTAATGACTTTCCTAATCTTGTCTGACTTGGATGTACTTTTATTCTTAAATTTTTAGTAATTCATATTTGTCCAATCATTCATTTTGTCTAGGACTCTAAAAATTTGCTGCCCCATAGTTACAGGTAGAATTTCTTTCCTCTGTATCTGCTTATACCCTTATCTCATATCTAGACTTCTTTATGTATATTTTTTTCTTCATGTTCTGGAACACAAAAGACTTTACTAACATATTAGTCTCTCAAAGAACTAGGTTTGGATATGTTTATTTTTTTTTCTATTTCTATTTCCAAAACTTCAGCTTTTACTTTCTTCCGTCTTTTTGGAGTCAACCTCTTCCTCCCTCCCTCCCCAGATATCCTTAGATAATAAGTTCTTAGTTCTAGTTTGATCATCTTTAATTATGAAGATATTAAATGTAATTTTCATGGTATCCTGTAAATTGTGGTATGATATATGTTCATTTTAATTGCTTTAAAGATAAATTATAACTTCCATTTTAATTTTAGCTAGAGCTATATGGGTTTTAAATTATTGTTATTTTTGCTTGTTTCCATAATTCTGAAGCAACCAACTTTGCTTGGTCACTTGGTTTTTTCCCTTGATTTTATTGCCTTCAAGAATATGGCCTATAAATATCTATTATAAACTCATTTTTTGTTGTTGTTGTCAGTTATTTGATTGTTTTTGTGTACATTGTAAGAACTTACCAAAATGTGTTCATTGAAAAGATTTTAGTGTTAATTCTTATATTTTTACTTTTACTTTTTTTTTTTTTTTGGTAATCTACTAGAATTGACTAATCTAGAGAGGGTTTTGTTTCCCATTATAATTATATGCTCTGTCAAATTCTTCCTGTCTTTACCAATAGTTTTCAGCTTATATATGTAGCCTATATATTATTTGGTTTACAGAGTTTATGACCATTTTGTCTTTGTTTTCCAATTCAAATTGAACGTCTTTATCTTGTTGAGTGTTTTTAATCTGTAAAACCAAATTGTTTGCTATTAATTTAGGCTCTTCGGCTCTCATATGATTTTCACTGACCTAGTATCTCTTTGTCCATTTCCTTCTATTAAATTTCCTTACCATTTGATTTTATGAGTGTTTCTTCTAAGTAGCCTACAGAGAGTTTGCTTTTAATACATCTGACAGTTTGCCTCTTAATGGAATAATGCGTACACTTTCCATTTAATATAACTTTTCTGCTTGACTTTTGGTTTTTTTAAACTAGAGATTCTCAACTTGCGTACAACTAATGTTTCAGGTCAGATAATTCTTTGTGTTGGATGCCTGTCCTGCGCATTGCATGATGGTGAGCAGCAATCCTGGCCTGGTCTCTACTCACCAGATGCCAGGGGCATTCTTCTAATATCTCACACCTGTTTCCAGTTGGACAATCAGAAATATCTCCAGACATTACAACCTGTCCTCTGCAGGGAAGATCCACCCCCACCTCCCACCTCTGCTTGAGGTCTGCCTCTGTACAACTCTAGGATTCAAGGTGTTATACTCTAGGCCTGATGGTTCTACCCATAGGTTGTTCTGAATATTTGCTGTGGGCAACTTCATCTAAGTCAGGTGTACCTAGGGTGACCAACCATTTACATTTCCTGACTGAATAGATTTCTGTGATATGGAACTTTTTTTGTTTTTTGTTTTTGTTTCTGTTTTTTGAGATGGAGTCTTGCTCTGTTGCCAGACTGGAGTACAATAGTGTGATCTCGGCTCACTGCAACCTCCGCCTCCCAGGTTCAAGCGATTCTCCTGCCTCAGCCTCCCGAGTAGCTGGAATTACAGGTATGTACCAGCATGCCAGGCTCATTTTGTATTTTTAGTAGAGACGGGGTTTCTCCATGTTGGTCAGGCTGATCTTGAACTCCCAACCTCAGGTGATCCACCCGCCTCAGCCTCCCAAAGCATTGAGGGTACAGGCGTGAGCCACCGTCCCGGCCTTTTGTATTTTTAGTAGAGACAAAGTTTCATCATGTTCATCAGGGTGGTCTCAACGACGTTTTGACCTCGAGACCTGTGTGTCTGGACCTCCCAAAATGCTGGGATTACAGGCCTGAGCCACCATGCTGGGCCTGTGATATTTGACTTTCAGGGCTAAAACCAGAAAACTCTTGGGAAAACTGAGATGGATTGGTCACCCTGGATATACCTCTTAAATTCTCTTGTTATACAATATAGACTTGACCAAGGAGAACACTCTAGTGAAGTCTACTTGGTCACCAAAGCAGTTCTCATTTTTTAATCTCAGCTTCCCCAAGCAACAGGTCCTCATCTAAGTACGTTCTGAGCTCAGAATTGTGAAATTTGATGAAAAATCCTTACGTGTATCTGAGAATCATTCTAACATGCCCCTAGACAGCTATAAAGCCTATCCCATCCCCTCGCAAATGTAATCACATCTATACATTAACATATTTTTTGTTTAGTATTGTTTGCTCTTAATCTGGAAATCCCTTTCCGGATTATTTGTTGCTGCATTAGTCCTCCTCCCACCCCCCAAGTATTTTTCTTAGGCAAGATACTTGGGTAAGATACTTTCTGAATTTCTGCTTGTCTTTGAATAACATACTTTTACTTTCCTAGGTGAATGATAATTTAGCTAGGTGGAGAATTTTTTAGTTTCAGTTATTTTCTCTCATGAGTCTTTTCTTACAAAGACTTCAAGCTTCTCGGGTTACATATGAAAAGAAAGATGCCAGTTTGATTCTTTTCTATTTGTGTTTATGCTTTCTTTATTGTCCTTGTTTTTATTTTTTTTTTAAAAAAACAGTAAGCACACATATTCTTGCATAGCAATTATCTCTTTACTGCTACTCCAAAGGTCTTGGGATAGTGGACAGACAATACTGGGGAATGAAAAGAGCTGCCTTCCATCTTCTTTAGCCTAAGTTTAAATATTCGTTTTTCTATAAATATTTTGTTTAGTTTTAGGGAATTCTCTATTTATTTAAAACATACATTTATCATTTTTCTGGGAGCTCTCAGATGTCATTCTGCATTTAGCTGTTTCAGCCTCTCCCCAGAGGAGGCAGGCATGAAGCAGTGGGAGGTTAGGGCCACTGGGGATTTGTGATGCCTTCCTGTCATCCGGCTCCGACTCTTGACAGTTCTGAAGAACACAAGGAGCTCTGCTTGTGGTCTCAAGTCTCTTTAGGGCCAACATGCCATTGGGATGGTGTTTTCATGTCAGTGTGACACCTGGAAGAACTATTCAAGAAATTCATTCTAGGTCTAGCATCT